TTTTGAAAAATCGAAAACAGAAAACGGCCCGAAAACGTTAAAGAGAACAGCCCCTTATATTCCAAAATCCAAACACGATGTGATGAATCTTTAAGGTAATTTGTGTTAAAAAGTTAAAAGCAATTTATGATTAGATTAGATGAGGGAAGGAGGAGGAAATAGATTAATAAAATTTAAAATCTTTTTTTCTTGGCGTCTCTCATTTAGATTATGTTTGAGCTACATTGTCTTGTCAAAATGTATTTTAGAATATAGATATGATAGAGAATATGTGGTTAAAAAATAATGAAATTTTTTGAATTTGTGTATAATATTATTTTATTTAAAAATGTATAGTTAAAAAATAAGAGAGACATAAATATATTTTAAAAATAATGTGGACAAAATAAAAGCTTCATTTTTATTTCTCCTTTTTAATTAAAAATAAGGCAATAATACATTTTCACTTATCAAAATACATGTTGTGTTCATGCGCACTACCAATGACATTTAGCCATCGATGGAAATTTTTCAAAATTTTTTTTCTACATGCTTAGTTTTGATCACACATTCATATAATAAAATATTTTGCACATAAATTCAATTTTTTTTCTACTTTTTAATAGATCATTCTTCAAAAATTAATTGTTGATTTTAATTTATATTAAGCCATTGTTAGAGTCTCATTTTATTAAAAATTCATTTTTTTTTTCAATTACACATTCTTCCAGTAAAATAAATTTACTAGTAAATTTAAATTATTTTCCTTATTTTTTAACATACTTTTTTCAAAAAATAATATTTCAAAATATATTTTTTCCCTCTAAAACGAACCTTAAACGATGACTCAAATCATAATTTTTAATTTCAACCAAATTGAGACATAATCACTAAAAGAGATTCATTGTAGACTACTTGCTTTATTATTTCTACGTGGTCAAAGTAAATTGAATTTTATGCACCAATGAATGAAATGTAATTTTTAAATAATTTATATGCATATCCAAAATTCTTATGATTCCTTGTGAAAAAATAATAAAGAAATCCTTAAGTATGACAATATTTTATAAAAGTTTTAGCTCGTATATTTTTTTCCATTATTTCAATTTTTTTTCTATATATTCATTTTCAACCACACATTAATATAATAAAATATTTTATACGCAAAGTCAAAATTTTTCTCTATTTTTTAACCACACATTCTCCAAAAAATCATTATTTAAAACAATGATAATTATCGTATTCCATTCTTACCTTGCACTTTTATTGTGGAAAACGTTTTTACATTTTATTTTTTGGTATTTTCACTCTTATTTCAATCTTTCATTGAG